ATTTCGTTATCCATCTCGTCTGAGTTCAACAAATTAAACACATGACAAAATTCTGTCTAGTTGTTCTGCTTCTTTCATTCGTCTTTATGTGTGAGCAATAGCAATCATACTACTCCATATAATGCCTTTTCTACTTTTATTTTTTCCGAAAGCGATTCTTCTTTGATCCTTTTGTAAGTAGGATGGGATTTCAGAAGAGGAGAAGAAGTTGTTCATCTTTTCGTCTATACGTTCCTTTTTAATGCATATTCCTTGTTTTGTAAATTTCATAATTTAACGTCTCGTTGTACTTTAGTAGAATGATTTTGGAAAAAACTCGCAGCAAATTCTTCGTAAACCATGTTTTCTTTTTCGATTTATTTCCAAAACGCTTTTATAATGTGCATTCTTCTTTGGATATTATTACATGTTTTACAGATTGAACTTCAACTTTCCGACATAGTTCTCAAGTCTGTTTTTAAACATCGTTCATTGTTATTCTAGCAAAGCTCTCGATGGTTTACCGCCTCATCGTGGCGGGACGTGTTCCTGGGTGTCGCCCTGCTATGTATAGCGGGGGGATTCATCCCCCCGGCAAAATCGCCCAACGAGTCCAACGTTTCCATCGGGAAGGCCAGCAGAGAGTAAACCAATACGAGGATCAACTACGCCCTTGATATCAAAATAATCTCATGATATCAAATCTCCCTCTGATCCACAAGGGCTGCTACTGCCTGTGGTGGTGACGACCTGTGGAAGATTTTGGCCAGGCTGTCCTCAGGACTCCAGTGAACCACAATGGCTTAACCAGCAAATCTCCGCAGAATGGAAATTATGCTGAGGGCCCGCAGAGCCAGTGAAGATCTGTCATCCAAGTATCCAAGTAAGTGGTATTCTAACAAAATAGTAATAACCACAGAAGTAACAATTTTCAAGATCCATCAAATCAGCCGATCTGTTTTCTGTAGCGAAATTTTTTGCACTTTTTGTTCCTTTTTTAACCATTGGGGGGACGTGCTGCGTATGTGTGCTTGACATTGGGGTTCATGTATTACAAGCAATTTTAGATCATCGGATATTAGATTAAGAGTTGTCAATCATTTTCTTTTTTATGGTTCTTTTTGCTTCTCATATCTTCACTACTTTATCCCTTCTTCTTCGTGGCTGTTATTATTTACCTTGGAGAATGTTTAGCTGCTATATAATTATAGAGGAGAAAACAGTGATGATAGGACCTTTTTGGTTTGTATTTAGTACAGTGTAATGTTTAACAGTATGGTTACTTGTCACAGTAGAGTTTTGCATGCGCGACGGTGCCTTCAACTTTATCAAGCATCATACGTGTCATTAATTGAAGCTGTGCATCACCTGTATCACCTGTTGTCCCATTGATTGTCGAGCGACTCAAGTGGGCGCCGGTAAATTATCCATATCTCCCTGTTGCTTGCAAGGGTATCCCATTGGATTTTGCTTGGTTTCGTAGTTTTCTTCTAGGGGTTTCGTGAAGAACTCTGACCATCGTGTTGGTGGCCTTGTTGCAGAACGTTTGAGAACCCAAAGACGGCCCACCTCATCACCGACAGTTTGACGCATTGAATGGCATCCTTGATTTCTGATCGTTGACGTAGGTCGGAAATTTCGATCTCCTCTCTCATTTGCGTAATAGGAGATAGTTCTAGCTTCTATCTTTCGACTACTCGTTCAATAACGCTGAGTGACCTTTCATTCTGCAAGAGTAACGATCAGGTTTATGATGCATACATTAAAGCAGGACGAATCATGAAATGGAAAAGGTAAGGATTTGGTCGTGTGTTCTTTGTTCTCTTCACTATATCCTCGATGTTCTTTGATTCTTCCCAAGCCGCTCGCTTCTTTCTGGTCAACTCTGAAGCTAAATCGTTCGTCATGTTGGTTTCTTACCTAGGTAGACGTAGCTGGAGCATTCGTAGATACTTTTTCTGTTGAGCGTGAAGGGTGATAAGAAACCAATCCGTTGCTCTTGACATCGCTTCTATGGGATTTAGTCGCCGACTAATCTTTCTACTGGCGTTATCAAAGTGGACTGGCATTCGTTCCACATGGCTACTGTTTGGTGTTATAAGAACAATGTCATCAAAAAAGCGAAGATAGTGTAATTTCCAACCATCGATTTTCACTCCCATGTAGTCCCATTCCAATGTTCGCATAAAGTTCTCGAGTGTGGCGGTAAATAATTTTGAGGAGATGGTATCGCCTCGCCTATTCCCTTTTTTGACGTCAGTGTTAATGTCGTTGTAGAATGGTGATATTTTGATTGTGAAATTTTTATATAGCTCACGAGGGATCTTTACATACTGAATAGGAACGCACTAGCTGCTCAGGGTCTCCATGACTGTTTCTATTTCTGCTCAATAAAACTCCCTTTAAATCAATGGAATTGAGATAGATTATTTTTTATACTGATACTTCAGTGAGCCTTTTGTCGGGTGGATGTAGTTCGTCGTAGTGAATCCTTTTCGAAACCCTCTTTCATCATGTAGTTGTTCTTCGTCCAATGTTAACGATGAATGAAGTAAAGAGTTTGTAACCATATCGTAGAGGACACCTTTATCGAACAGTAACTCATTTTTGCTGGTCTTGCATTGAGTAGGAACCTTGAATCCAGGTAGGTAACGTGTGAAGAGCTGAGCTAATGTCTTGACTAGGGCTGCTGGAATGTTGTTCAGGTGTTCAGGTCTTATTCTATCAAGAGCAGGTGTTGTTCTGGTTTTCACCGACGAAATAGCATGTCGATTCCGGAACGGAGAACCGGTGGCACGATATATCCATCTTCTTGTATTTTATATGAGCGCAGGATATGAGGTGTCTATTAAAGAGATCCAAGTAGTAATCGTGAATAATTTTCTCCTTTGCCTTTCTGGACGTTGTAACTGTTCCGTCTGGGCGCTGGAGTGCAATCATTTTGCTCTTGTAAATGGCGAAGCTTTGGTGGGCTTTGCGAATGTATTTTCCATACTCTGCAGCTTCGACCATAACTTCTGCCCTTCTCTCTTTAAGATCTTCTTTTATCGCCTGTCTGGATTGTTTTGCGAGTTCGGACGTTAGTTAGCGGTTGCCTGCAGCTCGTTCGATTCCACGCTGGCGTATCAGCTTGATTGTTTCTGGAGACAGGCGTCACTTGGTGACTTTCGAACTTTCAGCTTTTATAACGCTAGTGTAAAGAACTTGAATGAGCCGGTCATACTGCTCGCTGATATTATCAATAACGGCATCTGGCCCATAGTCAACTAATGAATTGAATAAACCTTAGTTTATGATGGTTTTGGGACTTCGTTTTTTGAACTAAGCGGCTTCTCTCCTTTCCACGAGAAATAAAATATTGCACGAAGGAGGCGATGGTCTGATTCCGTCTATAGTTTTGGGTGTAACGGCGACATCGGTTAGAAAAAACCTTCGATTTACCATAATATTACGTTTCGCTATGGTACTCGTCGCTAAGAAATAGTCACGTTCCGCGTTGAGAGTGAGGCATCTAAAATTGCGAGTTGCCATGAAAGGTCTTAGTCGTCATGGTAAACTCATACGTTCGCTTACCCTGCACGTTTCACACTGATCTATAGATCTCAATGTGTCATTCTTCAGATGTTCTTTCGGGTCCAATGTTAGCTGTGAAATTTCCAACGATGACCAAGAATATGCGGCCTTCTCTCTGGAACTTCTCCTAGTCCACCTAGAACGACAAGTTCATTTTTTCATAGCTTGATGTCGATGTCGATGTCGATGTCCACCAAAGACGACGATGATTGCCAAAGACGGTATTGATCTACATTTCTTCAGCCGTAAACGTTCGATTCGGGTTGTTAAACGTTCCAATGAATCGATTTTCATGCCCAAACTCGTGTTGACCATAAAGCCGGCATAGTCGACTCCTTCACTGTCACATGTTACGAGGAACAGCTTTTCGCCGGTTTTATAGACGATGTTGAATGGGTGGCGTCATCTCATCTCAGCCGGTCTGACGGCGTTATTCCTTGTCGTTCTTGTCTTTGGCCTTTGGGAAGTATGATCATGTCCTGTTTCGAGGAGTCATGGAAGTGAATGTACATTGTAGGTAGAAATCGTCGCTTTATTCCTTCGAAATTTAGGAAGTCTAGAATGTTTTTGAGGATTTAGCAGCCTCTGGTTCTATTTAATGCTGCCGTATCTGGAGCTCTTTGGGGTGAGGAAAACAAGTTTGACTTATTTTGCTATGTACTATTTTGCTATTTTGCTACCAAATCGACTCAGCAAAAGCAGGAAGTCCATCTTCGGATTCACTTGTGCCTTTGGGAAGCATAAGTTAGCTTTCGGTCCACGATCAGCCTCCTATCCGTCACCTGGTGAGCACATCGTCTTCATCTCACGCGATATGATAGACTAATGGGCCGTAACGGATAAGAAAGTTGTAGGTTTATAAGAGTTCCGTACACTGTTGCTTGATCTAAGCAGTGCTTTGAGTTTTCGTTCTAAATTTCATATCGTATGTGCTTTTATCGCCTTTTCTCGAACACATTTTTGAAACGTTCTCAAACATCACGTTTCAAATGAATTTTACCATTTTTTTCGGTGTGCCACCACTGCAAGATTATGGGATAACTGTGCCACTCGAACTTTCTTGATTGGGGGATTTATTCCGTGAATAAACTGTCGGCAGCAATTTTTCCCATACCCTATAAATTCCACACACTTTACACCTACCTTTCGTTTGTTGAACGTCATTTGGTCGCCCTCTGATATCAGGTTTTAATTCGTAAGTTAACTTGAGACTAAAAGGTTCTCACCACCTTTGTAAGAAATTTGTTCGTGATTATGTAGTTTATACCCTTCTGTAAATCTAGCCTCGATCAAGGGACATCGCATCTTGGTAGGACTGTCCACGTTTTTTCTGTAACTTCTACTGACTTCTTCAAATTTTTTAATTCTTTTATTATTCTTGTTACCTTCTAAGTTGTTTTACATGAAACTTCTAAATGTTATTGCAGTGACACAGATGTGAAACGAAAATGTCCCAGAGGGCCATAGATCAGACCGCCCTTGCGCCATCGTGTAAGTCAAGCTGTTATCATTTCACTCTGATTACTATTTAACAAAACTCTCGAAACGTTGATAAAAAGCGGCTTTCCAAAGTGTTTTCGGCACAAATTAGTGTTTAAATGTCTCTTCTCGATTCCATTGTTCGTATTGTAAGGCTTTGTCGCCACATCGGCACATCTCGGTGAACCGAGGATTCAGGTGGTTACTGCACGTGTTGATTCAAAAAAGGTTAAACGAGCTAAAAAATATCAACGAACACCGCTCGCCTTCTATCAGGTAATTTAAATTATTGCAAAATTTTTCATGAGCTTCGCGATACTGTTTATTATTAAAGTTTAGGCTCTTTTCTTAGGCGCTTTACTACTGATTTTAATACTGGTATGTGTTGCCGTTGAAACATGGAGGTGAGTTCGACACAGGGATTAAAACGACTAAAAAGCAGTAACTCATACGTTTCCTTTTCTGAGAGTCATTGGCTTGCTTCTGCACATTGCTTGCAAAGTTTTTTTTGTATATTCTATATATTATTTTTTGTATATTCTGCGAATTCAGGAGCACAATTCGTGCTAGTGATGTAGCAACTCGACATTCTAAGGATGATGAATCATATCATTTGTCTATAATCGAAGATGTAAATAATAAGATCGGTACTACATGGAGGGTGAGGCAATTTTGAAGTGTGATATTTCTATGTTTTAGTTTTTAAGTGAAAAAGTGTCCTTAAACACTGATGTTTAAGTAGGTTTACTCCAGTAATGGTTTACGTCCTGATCATGGCGACCTGATGTTTCCTAGTGTCGAATTAAGTTTTGTTGCATAAAGCTCATTCCATCGGCAGAGTTTCCCAAGCTGAGAGTAAATCTACGCTTCCATTCTGACCCCAAATGGAAACATATCAATGGCCGGAATGATTGTCATCCCAAGGAAAACCTATTGATATATCGTCGAACACTGCCGATCTCTGATGGTCGATGGCTAGCGGTAGTGAAGGTCTCTGAACTAACTTATCATCGCTAAATCATGAGATCGGTGCAGAAGTGTTGCCCAGCGGCTATGATAGACTACTACTTAAATGGAAGTTATGATCAGCCTCACCCAATTCTTTGTTAAAACAAGCCGTTCAAGTATGCGAGTAGATGTATTCAAGTTTACCAATGAAATCTTCCTTTAATATTGTACTCACTGTTGATTCGGTTCGCATTGGCGCTCGAATGAGCTTTCGCTACAGTATCTCTGTGTATTTTAGCACTTCTTATGGCACGTTCGAAAGCATTTCTAGGGGAAAAACATTCACTGAATGCGTTTTATACAAAGGTCACAAATTCTGCTGATTAATAAGGCATATCTCAACAAATTACTATCAAATTAAGGCAGTAATAAAATGAGAAGGTGGACGCACACACCTGTTTGATTTATTGTTCGGGTAAAATATATGTCACTCCACTGATGATAAAATATATACCATAATGGCTATGACTATATCTTTTATTAGCGTTTTTGTTGCTATATTCCAGTCACAAAACGATAATTTTAGGCACGATATAACAGGTTTGCCTCACGGGCTGAAGAGGGCCTAGACACGGGTGCTGATACCGACACATCTATAATCCTTAGAGAATTCTTCACTCTCGAAGACCGTCATCTTCTCCAGGATACAGTTAAACACATTGAGACATTATGGAGGTTGGTTATACTTGTAATATAATCGGCGATTTAAGGGAGCCATTGTAAATTTTTCAAAGGATGAAAATTGATGTTCCGAAGGTGTTTGACGCTCGCGCGGCATGGCCTACGTGTTGGGCAGTACATCAGATATTTAATCAGGCCGGATGTGGATCGTGTTGGGTGGGTCTTATCTTATCAATTTTCGCGAACTGATTACCTGGTATTTTAAGAAGGCAGCTGTCAGTGTAAAGAAGCAATTAGAAGTTGTAATATTGTAAAAACAGTAGAAAGAGTACAGTAGTAGTTAGCGAGAGCATGCGGTAGTAGATAGTAGTATTAGACATTACTGATCTAAGCACACATTGGATGCATTTGAAATTGACGGGAGAAAGGTCACAACCAGCTATCCTTATTTGTTAGATTAAAAATGGCTTCTGTACTTACTTGGATGCTTGGACGGCTCGTCATCACTGGTTGTGCGAGCTCCAGCATATTCATCATTTTTCAGAGTTTTGTTGGTTTATCCACTGTTTCCCTGGAGTCCGGAGGTCAGCTTGGCCAAAATATGCCCCAGTTCGTCACCACTACATGATGTCGCCGCCCTTTTGGATCAGAGGGAGATTTGCCATCATGAGATTAGTTTGGTACCAGGACGGTGACGGATCCTGGTACTGGTTTGCTCTTAGCTCAGCTTCCTGATGGCCTCGTTCTCAGCTTGGGAGACCCTGCCGGGGGGATGAATCCTCCTACTGTACACTGCATCCCGACACCTAGGAACACCCTGGAGTCCGGAGATCAGCCCGGCCAAAGTATGCCTCTGATGAATGCCTTCTATGGTCAAAGCATTTGAGAAAAGTTATAGAAATACTATTCAACGTGAGTAGGATGCAGCATATAGAGTGATGCTTAATCGTGCTTTTTTGCAGTCAGTAGCAGCAACATCGGTGATGTCGGATCGAGTGTGTATACATTCGAATGGAACACTTCAGCCACAGATAAGTGCTCTTGATTTGACATCATGCTGCATGTCCTGTGGAGGGTGAGGCTATGATCATTTCAAAAACTGCAAGATAACTAGTAAAACACTTGACGAACTACAGTAAAGAAATGAGCTACGACACTTTCTTTCAATATGGATATTTATATACACGGTAAATTTTCTTTTACATTAAATGACATTCTTACCAAACCCTTTTGATAAAGTGTACCTTTGGCTCTCTGCCGTTTGAGGTCACTTTGATGAAGGCAGGAAAACAAGAGTTGAGAGCTGAAATTTACCAGACAGTTATTAAAAGGCTAAAATTGGTTAAACTAGTCGTTGAGTTTAATTTCAGGTGTCAAGGAACACACTGGGCTTTATCAGCGTTTACTTACTGGAAAGAACACGGAATTGTCTCAGGTATTTCTTGATCTCTTTCCGATTTTTACAAAACAGAGATGCACAACAGTGGAAATAGTTGAGTCAAAATACGATTGTGCAATTCTGCATCTTAAATGGAACCTCATTGTTTTTGATAACGATAATGATCACTCTAGGCGGTTCATTTGGTACTCATGAAGGATGCCGGCCATATGCATTCGAGCCGAGTTGTGGTACACCATGTGGTTCTGCACTTTACCGCAAGGAACGCACACCTCGTTGTGAACGACAATGTCAGGGTCTGTATCACAAGACATACAAACAGGATCTTGTTCAAGGTTAGATTTCTCTTTAGTGTTTAGTGTGCTATAGCAGTGTAGGGCTGTACAATATTCTTACAGCAAGACATGCTTATTGGTTAAGAGCAATAAATGGCAGCTCAGAATATATGCCGGTGGTAAGAGCGACTCTGCACAAGCTTAGTAAGGGTAAGCAATTACAATATTTTCCGTCGTGATGACTTCCGTACTCATATGCAATTGGTTTACTGTAATATTTGTCCTGGATTGTTAATATTTTATGAAATGGAACGTTGCCGAATTCTGAATTATTTCTCACTATAGTATTTTTATATTTCTCTCCGATAATTCTGTTTAGAGAGGTTTGCCGAACTACTGCAGCGAGAAATAATAAGATATGGACCAGTACTTGCTTGCTTCACATTGTATGAAGACTTTCAACACTACGAATCAGGTGAATTTCATGGAAAAATTGCAAACATTTAAGGAATTGATAAATGCTGCCTTAGGTGTTTCTATTAAAATTTTTTTCTTAAAAAATGGTGAGCTTGTTTTTTAGTTTTACCATAACACGATTGAGCTATTTATAGGCATATATAGAACCGATGAAGGCCGTTCATTACAACTTTACGGACATTGTGCAAAGTTAATCGGATGGGGTGAGGATGGCGGCATTAAATACTGGCAGTATGCTAATACATGGGGCCGGGATTGGGGAGAGAATGGTGGGTGATCACTCGTTGAAGCACAATAAGAATTTTGTGGAAGTAGAAATATAAGGACATATTATTACAATTAGTTGTCTTATAACTGTTTTATTTTGTGAAATTCTGACTGTTCTGCATTTCCTCGTGACCATTTGAACTCCCATCCAGCTATCTAGAGTTTTTTAAATGCTAGTTCTAAGATGGAATCGTAGGGTGCGTATCGCAGTGGTGAGAGCCGCCCTGCAATATACATGAGTTCGATCTCCTCGCCCAAGGCTCACCAAGCCTTCCATCCCTCCGGGGTCGGCAAATTGGTAGCAGACTTCTCTAGGAGGATAGCAGCACTGGCTCAAAACATCAGTAGACCACCTCGAGTCATTGTAAACGCCAGATATGCATTCATTCACCTCCAGCGTTGCTTAATGAAGTCGAATGCATGGCACATCCCTCAGGGATTGATCGACGCCGAGAGAGAGCTTTAAGATGGAATTATTAAAATATCTCTTTCTCATTAGTAGATATACTTTACTGCATTTTCGTCATTCGGGTAGCTTGGGAGGGAAATTTTTACTCGAGCTATTCTTTTGCAGCATTTTTGAGATTTGTTCAGGTTTCTTTCGTATGGATATAAATGAGATACCAGAAGAGGTTGTTGCTGGCACATTATGAAACTTCAGCTTTTTTTGTTTCAGTCGTTGTTAACGCATTGATGAACTTTGAGAAATAATGCTCTTTACGTCCTTCTAAATAATGTTGACTTTCTATGCTTCTTAAACCTGCTTCTTGATTTTCTAACATCTTACACTCATGTACTTCCATCAGTAATGTATTAAGCGAACTTATTAATTCATTATCCAGCAGTTTGTCGGTGTTACTTAACCAGTACGTACGTAACATAGGTATACAAAGAACTACTTAGTGGTTTGGCGACATAGCACTGAATATGAGCCCTATTATTCCTCGAAATGTTTGGATACTTAGATATAACGATCTTGAGGCTATGTATTTCATTGAGCTGGTCATCTTCATTTCACCCATCGCTGTCATAATACCACTTTATTGTCATTCGCAGAAAGAACTTATATCCACTATATTGTATATAAATGACTTGTACACTCCTATAAGTTCTCTTGATTTGTCATTAACCAATGTAAAATACTGGAAAACTATTAAAATTACTCAATATTAGCCATTAATTTTCAGATGCATCTTCACAGTTGCTATGGTTGATCACATTATATTAAATTCGCAATCCTGTCATATCGTCAGAAAAAATCTTCCAGCTTTAATGTCTTTGTATTTCTCCCCAACAGCTTCAAACTGCTAGGTCGATACTACGCAGTGTGATAATAAAGACTCAAAGACTTAAAGATAAACTTCGATTAAATCGTCCAATTTGCGCTGCAAGCTAAATATAGCCATCATGCAGTGCTCATACGAGAAAATAAGCCATGGCAGTAGTCAAAGTCTCTGTCTTTACAGACTAACCATCAGTATATTTATTTCCTAAAAATTTTGATTTATAAAGCATTCTTCGTCCAAGTATATTCTGGCGTATACGTAATACAGAGCTACATATCCACCGCTTCGGATCACAAAAAAATAGCTTCTGAACACACAGAATTCACCCGGAAAATATGCAGAAGTAAATCGTGTGTGAGAAAACATGAGTATATGAAAAAGCGAGTTACAACTGCACAAAAGTCAAGTGATATTTAAAATGAACCTATGAGAAATACCGCAGTAGTTAAATGGAAATCTGCTAAAAAAAACAATATTAACATGCCACCGGGTCGATTACGTAAAGTGAGCTCAAAAAATACAAGAAAATAGAATGTACTAATTTTAACTAAATTTCAATGTAACAATCACCTAAGTGCTATAAAAATTATCAGGATTCATACTAGAGAAAGCATTAAGAAGACGAATTTAAACTCGAGTACTATAAAGTGGTATCGGCAAGGGTAACCTTTTGAAAGCCGGCACCTTGAGGATCTATGCTAGCGGCACCGTCTTGATCCACATAAAGAGCCAGCCCTTCTTCTGAAGTGTTGGTATCGCCCTTAGTTGGCCATCGTGTCTCCGCTAGCATTCGGTCTATAACACCACCTGCGTCTATCCTAAATAAAGATCTTAACTAAGACAACAATCTCGTCATAAAATTAAAGCACGACAGCTCAGATTTCAAGCAAATTTCGTCTTTTCCATTGTTGTTTGCAATTTTATTGAACAGTGAGAAAGGATAAAGCGTTCGGTATTGGTATTGGACCTGACGGATGCGCCGTGCATTCGACTTCATCAAGCATCGCTATTGGTGACTGAATGGATATTTGGCATATATAATGAATTGTCCTGACCTACTGAGGTATCAAGTCAACATGAAGAGATGGAAGATTTCGTGACCACAGGCACAGAGCCGAAACAATCACAAATTTCTTATACTACAGAGCACCTCCAACCACTGCGATAAACGCGTCCCACACAAGTGCGATTCTATTATAACTTTCAAAAACGCTGTGGACCAGCCAGTAAAATTCCTTGCCGGAAAATAACGAATTAGATCTTGATTCCTAATAACATTTAAACAACCAGAGCATGTTACTGTTAAAAAAGTAGCTAAACTGCTAGGTATGTTATGTTCATTGATAAGACAACATGAGGTTGATTAAAAAAGACTCTATTCCGATAACGTTTCGCCGCACTGAAATATTGTTACGTTATGTACTAGCTGATAACGATGCCGGCTACCGCAGGATTGACTGTTCCGAGAACAACAAACGATTCTCAACGAACAATCACTATCAACAACCGTTCTGTATTAAATATCCTTTCCGCGAACAAGAACATCCTTCTCTATTTCCTTTCTTCCCACCCTCACACAAAGAGGGCGATTGTGAGAAACATGTTTCGAACAGTCACCTCTGTGTGCACTACTAGGGAATTAAAGGAAGAATCGCGCGACTTGGCCCGGCAAATAGCCATCTCCAATGGCTACGAAATAGTAACCGCACGAGATAAGTTTACAAGGAGAACGACGCGTCCACGCGAAACACTTGGCCAAAAAAAAATCCCGTTTATGTTGCCTTTTATAAGCGATGAAGTAAGCGTAGCTATAAAACGATGCTTATGAAGGGCTGGTCTAGAGGAAACGGTAGCGATAGTCGAAATACCACCGACTACTCTACGTTGCCAATTAGTTCGCAACCGCCTGTATGACCGTCTGTGTGAAACAACAAATTGCGTAATTTGCCCTTACGGCAGGGACGGTGATTGCATGAGTTCAGGTACGATATACCTGATCTCTTGTAACAATTGCGGAGATGAATATATTGGCGAAACGGGCAGACCTTTGTGTATCCGTATAAAAGAACACCTAGATGGCAAACGAAAACTAAGACGAAGCACCCACTAGGCACGCATAGGATACAAAAGCATAGCGGAGACGATTTTGAAGTAAGAGTCAATATCCTTGCACAGGAGTCCAAAACACCAGCGCGAAAACTCCTAGAGGCTTTTTGGATCAATGCCAAAAACCCTACAATGAATAGCAGGGATGAATGCCCGGAGGTCATACGCGACCTGATCCCGTACGTTCGCATCGATTTTTGATGTGGGATGATGCAGTCGTCAACCACATGCGACTATAATCAGCTGTTGTAAACTTCTTCGTTCGAAGTCACGAAAAAAGCGGTGGGTTTTTTCGAGTTGTTGATCATGTAATTACCATAGAGTTTTTTTCGTTTTTTTATAAGTGTTATCGAAGCGTTTGGCCTAGTAGATTGTATATCAGTATGCCCTTCCAGGCTCTGAAGAAGGCGATACTGCCGAAACGTCAGCTAGCGTTCTATTGTATTGTGTTTTTATGGAAGTAAATGTATGCTGTTCAAAAACCTCGCGATTGCTGAACAAGAAAACGACACATTCATATTCCAATGCCGAGGTTAAGAGAAAGTCGATCCTGGGAACTATCATTGATATTCATATTTTTGTATTTCATGATTTTAATGATTTTCATATTTGAAAATATCAAGTACATTTTTATTGGCATAAAATATTTCTATTCAAAAAGTCACAGAGCGATTCGATAGAATCCATGTAGTACTTTAAGTTATGTGATTCCTGCGCCAATTGCTGTTTAATCGGTTATGTTCTTTCGATAGCGATGAATAGTAATGCATTTTTTTGCTCATGGTCCTTACGAAGAAAAGATATCACTGCATTCATGATCTTAGTAATGAGTGCATCAGTGGACATCTATCACTAATGGTCTTTGCTTAGGTGTCGCCAAGATACATGGGGTCTCCGCCTTGCTTGACTTTTAGTTTCTACGAATACTGGTAGTGAATTGAACTCCAGACACCACGTTCTACTTATGTGACATAAAATTTCTAGCATCACCGAGTGCGTATTTGACAATCATGATAGTATGTTCACTTTATTTAGGCAGTTAGCTGTTCTGCCTCTGCCTCACTTGTTCTACGCTGGTATGTTAACCTTCTAGATCGTGTTCATCTCTCTTAGCTCTGGAGCCAAGTCACTCACCATAATGAAATCCATTTTGAGACACGGTATCGCACATTCAAATCCACCATTTCACCACAATGTGTCCTTGTAAAATGGTGAAATCTGGTCCTTAAGATACTTGGTAGTTCATGGAATTTCATCCTATTGCATAGAGATATCCGCAGCTCCTCATGGTTCCCTGAGCGTTTCTTTCTTAACAAGATCAAAAACTTCCAGCTCGATAGAAATGGCATTTTGTATTCTTGTAATACGCCAGCAACTTTCGCAGCTGCACATGCATGGCCTGCCACACTGTTTTGAAATCTCGACTCGCATGACTGCACAATGTTTCAAGCTCCGTGAATTCTGCTGAGGACAAGTGACGAAACAGTTTGTTGGAAAGTGTGCGACAGTATTCTACATTGAGTGACTCTCCTTTTATGAGTTACATGGTATTACCGGCTTTTCATCACCCTTACATTTTGACATGTTGTTTCGAGTGAGAACTGATCAATTTGTTGTAATCCGTAACCAATAACATAGCAAACCACATTTTGGAAATGAAGAATTTTTGAGAACACGGTCACATGAGATGGTTTATAAATATGACTTTTGTCGCTCCCGTAAAGCTCCATAATCTCAGATTTAAGCTGAAAGTTTCCTGCTGCTAGAGAAATACATCTCTTTGTGAATTTCCTAGAAATTCACTTCCTTAATACTGCCAAGTAGGACGTTTTCACACATCACGTCATCCGTGTTGTCAGGCTTCCAGAATTGCGACTTACGAAATCAAGAAAATATAAGGTCATCGAAAACGAGAACAGACCTGGTACTCTGGATTCGTGGTGCACTCGATCTGTCTTGGCTGAGCCTCCGCAGTGATGTTGGTGCATTTCTCCGATTATCTGAGGACATAGAGGCACACTCATCTGCCATGGAACATGAGCCAGCCATGGAGCTAATTTCTGCAATTAATGCAGGTACAAAAACGTGACCATTGAACAAAAGACCTACTGTGCAACGTCAGTCAAAAATACTGATTTACAATAAGATATTATAAACTAACCCTACATACAAATACAAAAATGCTGAGATATGAGAAACACTCGGAACCTTAGGTGGGCTTCGAACCCGCGATTACCCTTTCCTAGGGCCCACGTGCTATCCACTACGCCAACTGAGGCCCTTGCTTTGTCTACCTCTCAGTCTCAGCAATAATCCGTCAAAGGGAATGATCTGGAATAACCCGAAATACCACATCGCTCCCACTCCAGACACCTGCGGTCCAGAGCTTTGCAAAAATCTCAGCATCATTGTGGTTGTGTCATAAACAATACTTTGCCTTCAAAAATTGTAATAGACAAAAAAAAAATAAAAAAAGCTAACATTATGATCTCGACTACAGTCTCAGCTTAACTGGGTTCATTGCAGATTTGAGCTCCCCAGATCAATCCCGTTCACGAGTGAACGCTGACGGCACTGGTAGATACAAAACTAGGTGAGAAAGGCGAAACGAAGAACCCACATGATGTGATGGTGAATGCGTTAACCCTGGAAAGCGTAATAGCGCGCTGGTTCCCCACCGAAGACTTCTGCGGTCCAAGGTTTTGCAAATATCTCAGCACTATTGTGATTGTAACCCGAAATAGTTTACTGCCCCATCATGGAGGATGTGGGACTACGTGTCGAACAGCAATGCAAAACGTTCACCACACCTGCATGGTTACGCAAGATAAGAAAATCCGCCGTATTCATCTTGCTATCCTAATGAATGTAATACAGTGACAGAAAATACCGCCGTAGTGGAAAAAACCTAGTCGCAATGTTGTAAACCTCCTTCCAACTCACAAAGATCGACGACAGCATGTGATGACGATTTGGCAACGTTCTGGCATGGCTTTCTCAAGATTACCGAGAAGAAACATTGCATAAGCATCAAAGCAGCAGACAAATGAAAAATACACTGGAACTTGCACGATTTCTAGTGAATACGGGTCATTCATTTACCAAGTACCAGAAACTAATATTTAACGTTAATCTTGCTGTTAAGCTCCTAAGAGGTTTACCGCCTCATCATGGCTGGTAGGTTTTCCTGGGTGTCGGGCTGCGATGTACAGCGGGGATCCATCCTTCAGCAGGGTCTCCAAAGCTAAGGAGTCCAGCGTTTCCATCAGGAAGCCTAACTAAGATTAAACCAATATCAGGATCCACCACCATCCTGATATCAAACTAGTCGCACGGTGGCAGTTCTCCTGATCCACAAGAGCGGCGACTGTCTGTGGTGGTGACGACCTAGGGCAGACTTTGGCCAGACTGACCTCGTCACTCCAGGAAACCACGCTAAACCAGCAAAACTCCGAAAAAATGGGAATTATGCTGAGGCCCGCACAACCAGTGAAGGCGGGCCATCCAAGTATCCTAGTAAGTGTTGCTGTTAACGTATACAGAAAACGACTAGCCTTAGTGAAAATGAAAGAAATTGATTTATAAAATTAAGAAACGAAAATGATAGAAAACGATGGACCTGTAAGCTCAGTGCTAGCATTTCCACGTAACTTAACAAACGAGCCAGTAGCTTCTTCATCCTCATTTTCATCAACATCTGAAGCTTTAAGATACGGATTCAATGAGCTATCTTCGATTGTATCCGCACCACCAGTGAAGGGTCTGTAAAAAATGGTAATGCGCAGTCTATCTCACAAATTATATTTAATTCTCACAAATCATATACAGTTCATGGAATAAATTTGTGAAAAACTGATATCTACTAGGAAAAATATCACCGGAGTCCATTCACAAAAGGAATGAATTTTATACAGGAACTGAAAGTAATATTGGTAATGAAAGGAAAAAAAAAAGAGCTCACACTCTGAAAAATGGATCAGCACTTTGATGAGTCATTGTAATCTTAATCTGAACTTTTGAATTATCCTGACGCTGATGTAAACCACCGTACCCATCTAGTAGATAAGATCTAGTCATGCCTATAAAGATATGAACATTATTTTAATCTATAAAACCATTAGGAAGTTCAACAATACTTTTCGAAGTAGAGTTCTACGTTAAAGCGCTTAACAGTCCCAATGAAACAATCTTGAATGACCAAATATTTCACCATGTTTAAAACGAAACTATTATATGTCTCACTGAGAGTCGTAATACAACATTCTTGTGATCTCAACTCCCAACTCCTTTCTTCCTTCCCACTCCCACTGTCAGACCACAAATCATATTTAATAACTTTGGCTCTAATCGAATTGGTTGACCCAAAATGTACTTCAAGGATTTGATACTGCATATCTCTAATAAAATTTAAGCGCCATTTCTGGTGGAACGACATCAAATAATAAAATAATAGACTACACTAATGGAATACTTCCAATGATACTATTAACATAAAGAAAACAAACCTTCCACTCCACTGCCGGCAAATTCAGAAAGATTAATGTCGACAAATCCCAGTTTCAGAAATGACTTACCGCCTTTCTGCTCCTAAAAATTCATGAGAAAATTCTGTTTGCTTCAAAATTATATTTTCAAATTGAAAATGTCCTCATCAATTTAACGAACAGATAGCGATTAGTAGATTAGAATTACACTAACCTTTCTTATAGAAATTCTGCACAGACATCGTTCCAGTATGCCGGAAGAAGGATCGGACGTTATTCGACAACAAAAATTCGATCGATGAGACCAAGAGCAACTATTTCTTACAACCTAAGTGGGACATAAAATCGGACAACGAAGTTTAAACGCACAGAAAATCGATCGACCCAACCTCAACGCGTTCTGTGCAGTCGTCAAACGTGCCACCTTCTAATAGACGTATCTTTGCAAACAAAACTGCATTCACCAGAGGAACATCGCTTAGATTGCACACCTACAATGATGGCAAATCGACTAAGAACTGACATCACCCATAGAATTTTACACCTTCGCTGAAACTCTCGTGACAAAGTACACAGGGAAAAAACTGGCTCTATAAACGATAGATAGAAGGATAAAGCTCTCGGCGTTAATCTACCCCTGAGGGATGCGCCATACGTTCAACTCCACTAAGCATTGTTGGAGGTAACTGAAAGCATATGTGGCCTTTACAATGACTCGCGGTGGCCTACCGATGTGTCGAGCCAGTTCTGCTATCTTCTCAGACAAATATGGAACCAATTAGCTCAGCTCGGAGGGATGGAAGGCTTGGTGAGCCTGTGGCATGGGAATCGATACCATGTGTACTGCAGTGTACCTTCGGCCACTGCGCTACGTGAGCTATAATGTCACTGGCCCTACAATATTCCATTGTGGAAGCACAGCATGAGAACCAGAAAGAGAAAATATTAAAATAAAGTGCAAAGGAATTCCTTAGTGAGTACACCCACCTGCAAATCGACACTGAATTTGACCTTTTTCCGCTTCAAAAAAGCCATTTTACGCCATAGCCAATCGATGAAGAGGTATCGGCCTGAGGATGGAAAAAGTTCTTTAGCTGTGACGGCTTCGCCACACCACATAAAACAGTAATTTGAGAAATATAAAGTATTCTTAAGCTAGGAATCAGAAGGAACTTGTGAGCTTAACAATCCATGAAGGTAGTAATTCGTGGAAGAAATGTGCAAAGAAGGCCAGAAAGATGAACTGTATGAATGAATGAACAGGAATTAGATGTATGCAACCAAAAATTCATGATCTTAATAAGTGTATCAAGGATTTCCATAGATACTATAGTGTAATTAGTCTGGGAACATTAAAAGTTGAATTCACACAACATGGCAGAAAAGTAAGCGATAAACATGCACGCACTAAGAGGTTTTCAATAGAATTAGACAAATATCTCTACATCAGAAAACTACAAAAGTAAATTAAACTCAGTAAATTACTAAACATACAAGCAAATAAAAGTAGAAATCGGGTACGCTAAAACATTTGAAGCAGCTAATAGTGAGTGCAATATCTCGTGGTCAATGGAACCACGGCCGGAGCAATATATTTAACGATCAAAGAGAAGAAGATACGGTAACTCACGCTTCATACGGTTTCCTAGGATTAACGCTGTCCGAGGTTCATTCGTGATCTTTCGAAGCATTTCCTAAAAGCTTTGGTGTTTTGTTTAAAGAAAAAAAGGAAAAGAAAAAGAAATTTTCGAATGTTGTATAGCGTTTGAGTAGGAAGCGAGCGCATGAAATTATGAGAGGAACACACTAGCAATGAGCTACATTTTTCTCTCAACAAGGTACTTATAAGATATATTATACCTGTAATAATAGACAACAAGCTACGTATGTGAGGTGTACGGTATTTGTTTAAGAGAATATACAGGATTTGTAGGGATATTTACAATACTGGTGAACACCATCATGATGTTTAAGTGTGCGTTTGAAATGCGAGCACGTAAAAGTAAATAACGGATTTCTAATAATCATTAGTTACTAGGGTTCATTATAGGTGCGCGTTACTGGTAATGAAGCAGGTATTAAGTAAATTTATACTCGAGTCGCGAGGCTCAGGTGTCTAATTAGCAGCTGACGGCGTGAGCAGGTCACATCGGCACCACTACCATCACCACCATAACCAATACGACCTAGCAGTAATTTATAGCAGGAGTAGAAACCTCGGAAACATGAATGAATGTCGATTTGCATCTGAGAACGCATGTCGCAATGCTGTCCACCAGTTGACTCACGCAATGCAAATCGTCATGAATCAGGTATTGCTTCACAGTAGAATTCCCAACTATACATGAAACTGCTACAAGAAATCCTCAACGATATATGAGACTGAAGAACCCGCATGGTGTAATGGTGAACGCGTTATCCCCGAAAACGGTAACAGCGTGTTCGATTTCCACAGCAGACACCTGCCGCCCGGAGTTTTGCAATTATCTCGGCATCATTGTGGTTACACATGAGATTGGTGCAAATCAACAATGTCGATCAGGAGACAATAACATTCACTGCAGAAATACATACATTGGTTGTAGAGGTTGCTTACGTTTTGAAGCTTCTACCTTACGGATTTCTATCGAAGTCCACATAGATCACTACGTTATTTTATGGAAAACCTTAATTTTCAATGTATGATATTCTAGCTATAGCTTCACTTTATGGCAGATTTAGAAGATTCGGTTTAAAACATACTTGCTTGAGAAGAAGTGAGAAAAAAGTGGTTTAGAGAAATCGGTACCAATAATTAAAATATCACCGAGCACTCCAAGATGTCGCAATGAGGATCGCGAAATTGCACAATTTGCCTTAACAGTAGAGACTCTGATAGTATGAGTTCGGATAAGGTGTAGCTAGTCTCTTGCAAGGCATATGGAGACGAATACGTTGGGAAACGGATAGACCACTCTGCATCCGTATAAGACAGCACTTAGTTGGGAAACTTTTGAATTCGAGAGGAACTTTCCACAAGGCACGAGTAGGACACAAACGCATAACAGAGAAGGTTTTGAAGTAAAAATCACATTCCTCGCACTGGAACCTAAAATATCTGTCTGCAAAACTGTTAAAGCATTTTGGATGAATTCTAAAAATCCGTTAACGAACTATAAAGAAGAGTGCCTTGTGATACGCGTGATTTAGGAGCATATCTTAGGCTAATTCTTTGACATGAGCCGGGCACATTCCTTAACCATGTGGGATTTCGTGCGGCCGGTTTCCAACAATTGCTGGAATGCTTCTGAAGAGCAGAACGGTGGGGGTGTAAAAAGGCTATTTACTATGTGAATGAGATCTTACGTTTTAAGTTTTATTTGCTGAGGTTATGTAGGTGTTTGTCTTATTGGACTGCTTATCAATTTGACCATGGCTGGTCAGATCCTGAAGAAAGCGAAACACCCAAAACGTCAGCTAATGTGAGCGAATAGTGTAATGACAACTAAGCACCTGCTAATTAGGAAAACGGTGAATTTTTTTGAATAAAACATAGTGGTGAATAAAATCAGAATGTCATTTTATAGAAGAAGAATGTGGTAACACTTTCGCCAGCACTTAATAATATAGCTAGCAAATCCTAGGACCGACTTTTTCTTAACCTTGGCATTGATCAATAACACATTGTTTTCTTGATGAGCAAACACAAATTTCTTAACAGTAATGTCTATTCAACACAATATTGACTGACGCTTGTGCGGTTTCGCCTCATTCAGAGCAGTTTTCATGTCTTTAAGACATCCAGTTATTATTGAAGACCAATTGCAAAGGGTCTTATATGGGTGAGGGAAGACTTACATAGTTACAGACTATCGGCCTGGATGCTATGTTCAAAATGAGCGAGACTAGGACATGGTTTTCGAAAGTGAGTAATCGTTGACTGTCTGTTTACTTATCATCGCTGAAATTCGGGTCGGGAATGTGAAAATCGTTCTCCAATGTCAATAAACTGGATGCATTCATAAGCGAAAAGCGACAATTGTTTGATAAGAAAAAAAGCGACCATGAAACTTATGCATAGTAGTTCCCTTCCTTATTTTAAGCATATAGTTAGTACAGAGTAAGCGCTAGAAAGCAATTCTTGAGTATACTGATTAGTTGGCATCTAAAACGGCATCTTTCAGTCTAAAGTACGTTAAGGATAAATGGACTAAATCAAGCTAATAGAAATATTCCATATCAGCTCATGTCATACTATTTCATGAAAATAATAGACATAGTTTCTGAAGTAATGAACGATCTAAAAAAATCGCTGCTTTTCTTGCAAATATTAGAAAAAAGTCGTGGACATATATTTGAAGCTTTGTATTTGCTTCTAAAAATAGACGAATAGGAGGACATAATGACGACAAGACAGATACTGATATGGAAAGGGATAAAAAAGCAGAATTTCTTGGCGATTAACTCTACTGATGACGAATGAAAACTAGTGAAGTGATAGCAACTAAATTGACAACATAGCGGACACGTTGTCACTAAAGGTGTTCGACGTTTAGGTGTCACTTTCTGAATGCTCATAATTCGTGGTACTTCTATCTGAATCATATGACAGAACAATGCACAGTCATTGCCTGAGTAAAGAACTTATCCCGACATCCTCGATCTATTCCTGGAAGTTTCTCTTCTGATGTTTAATCTGCACAGTAGAACAGTTGGAATATTCCATCTTTAAAATACCAAGCAACATGTTTTTCAAAACTGCTTGGTCACAGTATGTTTTCGAACTGCAAGAAAATCATCTGCGTCAAGTGCCTCACCTGTAGTCTTAGTAAGCATAAAGTGATTTGAACAAATACTAGGAAAGCCTGTTGTCGTTTGAACCAAAAGCGCCTTATGGAGTCTGCCTAGCTGGAGAATACGGGCAGAACATATTTTTAGAATGAAGCCGATTATTTTTGTTACTCTTGGTAGAAGAGCATAACTGGTTAGTGCGATCCTGTAATGCAGATTGTGAACAATGAAGTAGTGTCTGTTGGGGTCTCCAGAGGTTCGTTGAACACGACTAGCTTTTCATATACTTGCAAATCAGTTGATTACATTACTTTCAAAAAGAAAGTAACGGCGGAGGAAAAGAGAAAAAGGATAAAACTAGGAAAGGAAAATCAATCAAAGTACAGAGCGACTTATAGTCGGCAATGATGTGTTTGTCTAGTTGCTTCAATGAAATTCCCACGGTAGTGCATGGTCAAGGCGCCTTTTAGCGGGTACTTCGATACCACAAGGCGGCTCTTTCCCTTGAAAAGTCGCTAGTATGACGTCCTGTCAATCTCTTCCTTACACTCCTTTATTACTTCAAGACTGAAAACTGCTTAGAAGATGGTATTGAATGTGACGTTTTAATTGAATGGGAATTGATTGTTGGAAGGATTGTTTGGAATACTTTGACATGTGAACTATGTTGCTCCCATGGAATTTCATCTGAATTGACGCCAAAAGTGCTGTTCGGAAGCCGTAGTTTTTTTCTTGC